CGAGCTCATTTTTATTATCATGCGATTAATTGATTTATTGACTATCGCGACAGGCCTAATCCAGATTAATGACAGCTAGCCGTGAGCCGTGGCTAACAGCTGGCAAGCTACCCGCTGTTAGCCACTTAGCTAGCTAACAACTCGCTACCTAGTCAGAGCAAACTACCACCAAAATCATACATTTGATTTTTTTTTTTTATAATACCTACATTTCCCAAGATTAAATATAAACCCTTGGTGGCCAGGAGCCGCACTTTAACTTCTTTTACCCATCCAGCCACAGCGTATTGATATGCATCGGTACTCTTGAAAGCCTTCAAGCGATGCCCACTGTATGGGGAGCGGTTATGCACAAGATATATATATATATATATATTATGGAAGGCAAATTGGGGCAAGTCTGGGGCAGATAATAATGGATAAAAGAAAATTGGGGGTAACAAATAAGGATCAGAGCCTAAAATTTAAATTTTCTCCAGGTATCTCTGTCTCTCTCTCTCATTCAAATGGGCAGTTTGGGCGGCCATACCGGGCGAGATCTGTCGTAAATATGGCGGCGGTCTGTTTGGTAGTGGCGAAAATGTATTTTAATTGCCAAAAACATCAGTAAAGAACTACACTACCCACAATCCTGAATCGGGATCCCAATGGAGAAGTCCCACTACTTCCAGAAATTGATCCTATTGGGAACCTACCAATGTTCAGATCTCTTCTTCTAAGACTGTTTTGATTATCTTTAATGAACATCATCATGAGCTGTTATTATCCCCTGTGTGGTCTGAATGCCAGGGTATGACAACCGCCATACGCAAACACCGCCTCTGGAGGGAATTATTATAACGAGGAATATTGTGACGTGTCGTTCCCGGAAGAAAGCTCAAGTCTACGATGGAGGCGTTTCAGGGAGTTCAGTTCTTTGCACAAACATCATGGAGTCAGTGTGTGTCATTTAATGCACAAATAAATGCAGTTATTAACGTAGCCTTTTGTAACAGTATTATCATATATTTTGAAATGTTGACGGGTGCGATGGGCGACTCGTCATACGCTGGGAGTGGTTTAAACTGGGATATGACAACATTATAGGGAAAATGAAGAGAGATATCCAGTAGATTTCTTACAAGAAAATGGCAGAATTTTATTTTAATAAAACTGAAATTATTAAGTCTTTGTCATCTTTATTCACTTTTCCTGTTATTTAAAGGAGACATATAGAGGGGAAGTAAATGTTTCAAAGATTACGAGGGCATTGGTTTTGTTAATGTGCATGGATACATTTTGATTTCACAGACTTCAGAAGATGAACAAAAGAGAAATGCTACCAGACTATGGTCGTCTGAAGGAGTCTCTCATAAACATTCACCATGTGTTTCTTATCTCTCTAAACAACAAGTTAATGATTCACTCCCAATCAACTGGTAAAGATAAGAGCTCCAGCAGGCTTTCAATGGAAGCACTGTTTCCCACTCATCTTGACATTGACACTGACTTTATTTTTCTACTGTTACAGTTGACAAGAGTGTCGTTTGTCATTGTGCAAGTCCTGTCTCGACAACAGTCAGATTGCATGGCGTATCGTAATGATAGGATGGTGTGTTGGTAAAGACCTACGCTCTGTTCTGTGGAAAAGCAGAGATGTGGGAACTCAGAGGTGTTATTCACTTCCCGCATTGAGTCAGTGACGAGTACGCCCAGTTCACTCCTATCAGTGTATATCAGACATGAGTCAAGTTTATGAACGCTGGTCATGTGGTTGTATATTAGTTTAGTTTTGCATCTCTGGCGCCATCTCTGATTGAAACATAAAATTGCAAGTAATTTTTTTTATTTTTTTTACGTGTCTATGTGGTGTTTTTAATACGCTTTAAGACAAACCATGTGTAAATTCATAAGTCGACAGCATTGATGAGTATTTCCTCCTTAAAACTGCAGTGAACCAAAGACAGTCTCAAAAACACGGTGTGAAATCGCTGGTGTTTCTGACGTCACAAACGACCTTGTAACCAATCAGATCAACGTGTGATCGTCAACCAGTGGATTTCTGAGCTGAGTGAGTGAGTGGAGGCGGGGCTCATTTGCATATTCAACAGCGTATACTAAATGAGGCATGGGTGTCGTTACATTCAAGATATTTTAAGGCATGAATAAATTTTTTTCCAAGGAAAAACGTTTAAATGTAATTCTGGTGATCAAAGATGAGTTTGAAGGGATACAATGATTGACTACAGGGGGACTTTAAACCTATATTAAATGTATACATTGAGGACTATAGTGTTATTTTAGATTTAATTATTACATTTCTGTACCTGAAATGAATACTACAGTTAGACCTTACTTTATTTTTAACTTTGTTATATTGTAATTTCTATGCTTGTAATTATTAGTGTATTTGTTCTTATTTATTTTACTGACTGTTCAATAATTTTTTACCTTTATTAGTTATGCAAGTATGGTATCGGAGTACCTAAACAAAACAAATATCCGATTCGTGACCCATAAACCGTTATATGATCTGAACCGTGAGTTTTGTGATCTCACTATACTACTAGGCATACATCCTAACAAATTTCATCTGACCAAGTAAGTAACATATCTGCCACTTTTGTTCTTGACCAAATGAAAACTAAATCACTCACGTCCCATGTTTATATCTATCGATTGCTCAGTCAGATCAGATCACACGCTGCATATTATCCAGCTATAATGAGCCACAGAAACGTCTGTCCGGCAGGAAAACAAGCCATCTCTCCGTGTCAGTCTTCAACCCCTTCAGATCTCAACAAAACCATATTTACTCTGGGTTTAACACAGGCTCTGTCGCTTTAATTCCTCAGGTGACTCCCCAGATGATAGACCTTTCTAGATTAAAAGTAGCCATCTAGATGACTTTTAAACTCGAGGCAACTGTATCCTTATCACACGCCATGAAGTGGCCTGGTCTTCTTCTGTCTGTTCAGAGACGTGACGTATACACACACAAAGATGAATGACTTTGACAAAAGCTCGAACTATAAATCAGTTTTATAAGCTTACTGATGTGAATCAGGGTAATGTTGGGTTACTCAAGAACTCACTTTTGTTATTTTAGGATGCAGTTTTTAACCAAAAAAAGTTACATACTGAATGACACCATGTCTGTGGATTGTATTTGTTAAACTGCATTTGTCATGATGTGATTCCACATGTCCGACCTCTGCTCCCTCTGCTGGTGATCTTCCCAATGTTGAGGAGACCAGGGATTATATTTAGTCCGTTTTCATTTTTCTCCCTCCATCTCCCAGTTTAGCTTTCGGAAGGGAATCAGAAAAGCTGAAAAAAAAGAGAGAAAAAAACCCAACATGAATTTTCAGTTCCTGTAAATGCATTAAACCAGACAAAAAACTTTTTTTCTTATTTGGAAATGTAAAAAAAATAAAATAAAAAATAAAGGCATTTAAATAAAATTTCTGCGTTTACTGCACAAAAATAAAATAAAAAATTGCAGTCTAGGGTAAGTTAGGACCTTATTTTTTTCTCCTGATGACACAAAATCTCATTTCAGCACTTTTGATGAATGGTTACACTATTTATAATTTTGTCATTTCATCTGAATATCAGCATTTGAGAGATTTAGTCAACTGAAGCAGTTTTGAGGTTAATTTATGTAATTTTGTGTCTATAATAGGCCTATATAATTTTTTATATAGCAAAATTTTTTATAACAAATAGACACAAAATATTTTGTGTCTATTTGTTAATGAGGGATTTGTGGAGTAAAAGGTATAAAGTTAGACCCTGGGGTAAGATGAGCCACCATAATTGGCACAGAAGGTGCCATTTAAGTGACATGTTGTTATAGTGTTATTTTTAAATTTAATAATTATTGTAATTAATGGGGTTATTATTCAGTATTTCCATGAATTAGATGTACATTTCAGACATCTTTGCTTTAATTTTCTATAGGTTAGTTGAGTGAAGTCCTTCAATTTGCATTCATAGTGATGTATAGTGTTGCTTGTTACTATGACATATTTTCAATTAAAACATGGGCAATTAAATATGTAAATACTCATATGCGTGTATAGGCTATAAGTCACAGAATAATTTTACCTTTCAAAATTAATATCTTTTTCTGGGATTATGCTCTCTCTGTCATCATTTATTAAATTATTAAACTGCTAAATTGTCAAAATGCAAGAATAGTTGATTTAGTATTTTACCTTAATGGCACTTTAATTAATCAGAATTATTTCAAAAGTCATTTATAACATTTAGCCCAAGTGGGGCTTTTACCCCAGTAGGGGGGTAAGATGGCCTCTGTGAATAATTTTACATTTTATTCTATAACAACTAAGTTTCTATTTATTTCCTATAATAACACATTGGCTGATGCATCATAATAATCCTGCACATGCTAACCCTATATCTAAATATGTTACAATTTAAAAGTAAATACACATAAATGCTTTCATCTTGCTTTTTTACAATATCTTCTGGTTGAATATACATTTAATTCTAGTAAATGTTGGTGTAGGAAAATGGAAAATTACATAAATGAATTATAATTTTCATCTTGCACCATATGTTGCACAAGCTTGCACATACTGGTACGGGAAATGTAAATTCGAGAAGTATATTCCAATTCCAATGTATTTAAAAAGCACATAATACAACAATGTTGACCATAGAGCCGCACAAACGTATTGTACTTTACATATACCGCTGTTTTACACATTGCATTTTAACTTGAATTGACCAGCGAAACGAACGCCATTTGGAATTCCCCCTCTGTGACCCTCAGGAACGAACCATTATTATGGAAAACAGGTGTGACGCCGCCAGTCTACCACCTATATTTAGGTGTTAACCGGGATAGCGTGTTTTACATACACACTGTTGGATAATATAAACGCCTAAATACTTTTTCCCAAACGCCTGGATTCGAGCCAGTCTTGCTGGTTGTTTGTTTTGTGTGCGATGAGCGGATCGACTCCCCCCGTCGGTCACGTGAGCAGTGGATCGCTCCGGTCTCGCAGCTCAGCGCGTTTGCTCGCCTCGGTCAGTGTGTGTTTGGTTCACCGTAGCGCTGATCTCAACCGACGGTCAACGAACATGTCTGTGGCTTTCGCACAGCACCGGCAGCGCGCCAAGGGCGATATAACGCCTGCCGGGATACAAAAGGTAATTTTCATGTAATCATTTACCAAGCGGAGCGGAATTGCGCGTGCAGGAACGGTTAGTGGGCTCGGCTAGTTAGCCGTTAACGTTACATCTCTCCCGCCAACACTCCCACAACACCGTAAACAAAACATTCAGAGACATGTTTATCGTCGTATTTAAACGCTCATACGAGACTAACACGAGTATGACGCAGAGCTGAAAATCTCTGATATTAATAAAATATATTAATATCTGCTGTGTCTTTGTTAGCCGCTACGCGCTCGACACTCGGATATCATTCACAATAGAGGCTGTTGTGTAACGTTAACGTTACTAGCATCGAAGAGGACACGTTCAATCGGGAAAAACTGACGTATTGTTGCTAATAACGTTACTTTACGCCTGATTTGGTTGTTAATCGCATATCGTTTCAGGCACGTATGCTAAATAGCCGAGTTCTCCGTATCGATTACGCACGTCTGATTTGACCTGTCCACCTTTATTCTTCGGCTTTTCGTCATTCATGTCTGATTTGATCAGTAAAACCTTTATTTTGTTGATGTTTGTTTCGCGGTTTTTATTCAACACGTCTGATTTATCGATATTTGTGCTTAATTTTCATTAATCGGGTCTGATTTGGTCAGTGAAGATTTGTAATTCGGTTTTCTATTACTCATGTCTGATTTAAGTTGATCCGTTTTCCCTCGAGTATTTTTTATTTTATTTTCACGTTTTATTACATTAGAAATTGGTCTCACATAAAATTTTCACAACAGAACAGCTGTATGATATATATTTTATTTAATAAAGCTCAGGATTACACAGAAAATGTAAGCCAGCCAAGCTTTTGCTTCTTGTGTTGGTCTTTCTATGAGCTGCTCTCTCTAAATCAGTGGTTTCCAATCCTGGAGACTCATATACACACAGCATCCACAACAATCACATCCTCCATTATCAGAAATATGATGATCTGAATCCGTATGCAATAAATACACATGCGTGCATTAACATTTGTTTGCCCTTTTTTTTGTCTTTTTGAATATTTTTTCATGTGATATTCATTAATTTGAGTCAGTTTTACTCTGAAATGGCGTGTAATTGTAGTAGTTGAGCAGCTCTGAAAGCTTCACACACACATTAGGTGTTTTTCACCCTGTCTCCCGAAGCTCCCGAAACACCAGCGATTTCAAACCGTGTTTTTGAGACTGTCTTTGGTTCACTGCAGTTTTAAGCAGAAAATACTCAGCAATGCTGTCGACTTATGAATCTACTTAAAGCATATTAAAAACTCCACATAGACACATAAACAACATTAAAAGCTTCAGGGGGACTTTAATGAATGGGAAACGCTGTATTAGAGGACCAGCTAATGTAGATCTCCTTAGTTTTGCTTTCGATGTGATGATCTGTTACTCAGATCTGATATTATTAGGCTTTTTTTATTTATTTATTTAGTTCTTTGTCTATCTTTAATCATGTTTAATTAACACTGTGACATTTCAAATGCAGTTACTGGATGAAAACAATCAGCTGATCCAGTGCATCATGGACTTCCAGAGTAAAGGGAAAACGGCTGAATGTTCACAGTAAGTTCTCGTTCATCAACGATTCACATGCACTTCATCTCTTTATATGTGTGTGTGTGTGTGTGTTTTATTTTTTAATGAGCCTCGGGTAAGTCGTACACCAGACTAGGGCTGTCGCGATAACCGCAATATTGCGGTACCGCGCTACTGAAAGGCCAACCGCAGAGGAATGCAAGTAACCGCAGCAACCGCCAAACTGCGTTTTCTTTTTTCATAAGGCCACCCTTCGTAGTTCGTACCATGTGTATTGAATGTTAAATAAGTTAATAATGATAACAAGACTGTTTATCATGGTGATTTGTACAGAGGCTTCGTGGATTTGGACTTAAGCCTAAACAGACAGTGAATGAGATCGACTGAGCGCGTGCGATTACCTGCGTCTGTCTTTGAAGTCAAGTCATGTATATTCGTGAAAAGGTTGCCGTTTCCAGGGAAAGCGAAATGTTTGTCGTATCATCCTTTTAACGTGTAAGGGTAGGCTATTTTCCATGAATGGCGTCAGCGCTGGTCAGCATTACACAGCGCGAGGAAGCCGTGGGGGGAAAGCAGCGAGTCACGCATTGGTCTCTATTGAAAAGTGGAGCTCAAAGTTAAAAAAAATAATTAACGCCTTGTTTCATTACATCTATCATTTAAGGAATCAGCTTTTTTGAACGTTTTCGTTGAATGAACGGTTTAATGACTCACTCAAAGACAGTCCGTTGGCATAACAATGTAACTGCGCGCTGAGTGACAGCCTTTCAATGCGCAGAGACGCTGTTTAGTTTCGGTTACATTGGTTACATTGTTTTTGTGTATGCTGACCACGTCATAACACGTATTTATAGCAACAAATAAATATAAATAAATAAATTGCGGTAATACCGTATATCGCGCTATTGAGCCACTCAAAATTACCACAAGGGAAATTCCTTCACCGCGACAGCCCTACACCAGACGCGATGCTACGCCGTGATAAAGGAACTTTTCCGTGTTAATCAGAGTTACTATTTCATCGACATCATTCAGAGTAGTGTTGTCACGGTACCAAAATTTCAGTATTCGGTACCAATACCAGTGAAAATCCACGGTTCTCGGTACCAATTTCGGTACCAAAGCTTAATTTAGATTAAATTTACATATATTAAAGTGTATATCACGGTTACAAAGATGGAAATTGTAGTATTAAAAACACTTTATAATAAGATTCTATTTGATAGATAACATTAGATAAAATGACCTAACAAACAATAGTTATATACTGTAGCAATTATTCTCCTTGGGGTTAATTTAAAAATGTACTAATACATTTTTTAAATCAAAAGTTTTATCTGTTAACATTATTTAATGCACAATGAATGAAGTGAACAAACATGAAAAATCAAGTGTTTGTATTAAATAACATGCATAAACATTAATCAATGTTGTAAAAATATATTGTTCACTCAATGTGTAGATGGATAACGCATTAATGTTAATGAATGGTATCTTATTGTAGTGTTACCAAACTATACAGGAGATAAAACATGTTTTATTTGACTTAACTGTACTTTTATTTAATCCAAAACTGCCAAAAATGTCACTCTTGCCTGATGTCTTCAAAGCTTGAGAACCATGTAGCTAATTTCTAATGCAAGGGCTAGAAATCAATTAATCCTTTGCTGATACTTCCTCTTCATCATGGCGAGCGCTGTTCGCACTGTTTTCTCCTTCTCTCCACAAGCGCTCGCTCTCGCGTGTCTCCACTATGCAACCATAAACAGTGACGCGCCTGGAAAAACAAGCTCGCACATTGCTTCTATTATTAAGCGCGCTTCCCGCGCGCCTACATTTGAAATTTGCACGCGCAAAAACGCGCTGTGTGAACGGCCCTTTATGGCAACGTGACATTAGCCTAATTCAACATTAGGGCTGCAACTAACGATTATTTTGATAATCGATTAATCGGACGATTATTTTTTCGATTAATCGGATAGAAATTAAGTTAGTTTTTTTTTTTTTTTTTACTAAATAAAACCGTAAATCAGGGTATTTATGTGTAAAAGTGTACTTTAAAAAGTGCAAAAGCCACACATTGAGTTTTACTAATATCAATATTTGCATTGTTTTTAATGATAATTGCTGATGGCAAGTTGACAAACATGATTATTGATAAAAAAATGATATCCAACATATTATGTTTTAACACAATTTTTGTTAAAACAAATTTACACACACATGTTGTTCAGATGTGAATATCTAAACTAAAAACATCTAAAATATATAATTCATTTAATTTTTATTTAAAATTAATTATATATAAGGAATGTAATGATAAAGAATATAATATATAATATATAAAAGAATATAATATAAGGATAAATTGATTAAATAAATATAGAAAGACTGAAAACAATTGTGTGACCGTAGAGCCGCAGTAGATCGCGTTTGAAAAACAATTAAAACTTAGTAGACAAATGCTATAAAAAGAGAACGGAATAGAGGTAACGTTACCCAGCAAGCTAACAGGCTTGAGTAAAGGACAGGAGAAATTATGCATTAGTGCACAAGCATTCGCTGAAAACCACTGAGTACAGTGACTAAAAAACAATATTTTTCTGCTGCTGTTATTAACTGCCTTTGTATTTAGTGCTTCGCTTTGTAAGCACCGTTTTAATTTAACCTATTTCTGCGGTAGCGCTATTTTAATCCATCACTTACGTTGCGAGCGAACTGATTGCGCAACCTGATGCTCGAGACAAAATACAGACATCCCAAGATCCCGGAAGTCCCGGGAGTCTCCCGCATATTGATTGCGGCTCCCTGATGCCCGCGAATTAGTTCAAACTCCCGAAATCTAGAGCGCGCATGCGAGACAGAAGAGACTGCTCCAAACCGTGTAGCGCGTGCGCTCGGCAGAGCGCCTGAGGGAGAGAGACCTTGCGTGTGTGTGCGTACCAGTAAACGCTCCCCTTGACGTAAGCAGACCAACTAATCGATAATGACATTCGTTGACAACGATTTTCATAATCGATTATAATCGATTTTATCGATTAGTTGTTGCAGCCCTATTCAACATATTTCCATATGTGGCTCTTTCCTCCTTTCTTGTTAACAAGTGGATTCAGAGCCAACGCATTAGCAGCGCCGCCGGTCGCCATGTCTCAGTGTTTTTATGAAGAGGACGCCACTCTGCCCCTTTCAGACAGCGCATCAAGAACCGGATTAACCCGGTACTCGGTACCTAGAAAAGCTGGTACCGTAACCGTTTTTTTTTTAAGTACCGACTTGGTACCGAAGTACCGAGTTTTTTGACAACACTAATTCAGAGTATGACTATGATAATCTCAGGTTCTGATTATGTGCTTTATTTAATGTTGAAAGTGTCTAATATATCATTCTGCTTGACCTTTATAGCCATACTGAAAGCAACGTTGCATATTAAAAATAAGTGAAAGGAAACGAGCGTTCAAACTGTGAACTCAATGTGATTCAGTCACTTCTGATTGGCTGTGGTTATAGCGATGCACCGATCGTGATTTTTCACGGCCGATACCGATTTAAACAGCAAACAAAAAAATAATGTTATGAAGAAAGTATGATTTGATTTGATGATTATGTGAAACCAGATGTTTATTTGATATTTAACAGGCCAAACTGGCCTTATTAAAAACAATAACTGTCACCACCTGAAATAAGTGGCAGTAACTGCGCATTACATTCAGTGTAGTTTAAGGTGAAATAAAAATGATCAGCCTATACAGAACTGACGTTTACTTCTAGCTTTTCAAAAGTGCATGCAAGTTCTTCTTTACAAAAAGATCCGAGGGAACAACAACAACATATAGTATTAATAATAGAGGCTCTCTAGATAATAACAGGCTATAATCTGTCATTTTTTGTTTGCCTGTTTTGCATTATCAACAGATTGTTGATACTCATCATGTTTTTTCGGGTGATGAACTTTCAAATCTCTGATCAAGTTTGTTGTGCCGAATGTCTTCGCTGTTGTTCCTCCACGATTAACTTGTCCTTCGCAGACAATGAGTTTGCAATCTTCACGTCCTGCTCACAGATTTCGTGAACGATTCCAATGGAGCCGGAAAAATCGTCGGAAAGAATACAAAAAAACGATCGTGCGTTAGAAGCAAAACCTGTCCGATTTATGGCCGGTCAACCATTCCTACTTTTTGATTGATTTTGTGGCGTCTCGTCTGGAGTGTACAGACTTAATTGCTTGTCGCTGGACTAGGGATGTGCACGAATTTTCCAATATTCAATCTGTAATTATTATTCGAAAAATAAAATACTATTTGAATTTTACTACGTTGTAGGGGTGTGCCGGTTTCAGGATTGGTGATGACGGTTATGACGTGAGTCAAATGTGACGGTTCGTAACATAACCGTCGTCGTCCGGGGGAGGGGGGGTTATAGGACGTTCGGTTGAATAACTGTTCGTCTGTTATAGGACAACTCGCTCTTAAAATGAACAGCAAGACAACTAGAAGTGAATGTGCTTTCCATTAAATGAATCACACACAGTAAACAAAACCTTAACAAATGAACTTTGCAATTTAGACACGCAAACTGCGTGCCGGTGCGGTGAGACATACATGCTGGGGCAGATTCGGCTTGAAGTCGGTCATCCTCGGACGCGGCGCCGCTGTTACAAAAAAAGCCGTGCACACAGCCAAGCGAAATGAAGTCTTGCCGGTCTTGCGCACCCAGCGCGTCATTTTTTGCCGTGCGGACGCGTCGAGTATAAACAAGGCTTTACTCCGTGTCAGCGCGCGCTCTGACCAGTAAAGGGGGACAGACCTCTCCCGAATCATCTCCAGCACTCAGCCTCCGATCGCACTACTAACTCCGCCTCTGTTCCCCTTTGTAAGCTGATATTAGTATTTAAACATTCTCTATGATAAAAAATGTTTGTAAAAAAATATTTTAATAGCACGGTTTTGGCGGTTATAGAGTTCTAATGACGGTGCTCAACTATAACCGTCGGTCTCACGGTTATATAATAACCGTCACACCCCTACTACGTTGCTTTGCTGGCCGTTAATGCAGTGAATCCAAAATAGCAAAATGATTTTAAGACGTATACAGTTTCATTGGGAGAGACGAGTTTAAGAGCAGAAAACGCAAAGTGCTTTTAGAAACCTTTAACTTTGTGTCAACGTCTGTCAGCGCAGCTTGTTTTCTCACTCGAGCATGTGGATATTATTGTTTTTCTCAACATGAACGTGAAACAATATAATCACGATAACCACATGCCGACTCGAGTGCGTACGTTCTGTACGATAACTGGGCAGTCTGCTTTATTTACATTTTTTCGGTTCGTGCTGCTTGAGCTTTAATGCTTTTGTTCTTTTTTTTTTGTTTGTTTACTCATATTGTTTAATGGATTCAACTAAAAGAAAACCTTAAGATATATAGTAAGCTCGATGAGTATATTGCCTAATAGCTTGTTCAGAAATGGTGACAAACTTTTTTTTTTTAAACGGCTTTCTCGTTAAACGGCATTTGAATAAACGAATATGCGATTTTTATGAGGCCAATTATTCGAATACAATATTGTTCAAGCACAAATAATCTAGGATACTGCATAATTCCTTTCCTGATTCAGTCCGTGATCAAAGTGTTTTTCTCGTTTCTCTTTTGACAGCTACCAACAGATGTTACACAGAAATCTGGTGTATCTGGCCACAATAGCAGACTCTAACCAGAACATGCAGTCTCTGCTTCCCGCGGTGAGTATTCACTCCCCGCTTCCCACGCGGTGGCCACAATTATAATGAAATATTATTATAGAAAATATCTCTGAAGTATATTACCATTAATATTTACATTTTTCTAGCACACCAGGGTGACTTGGAACATGAAATTGTCCAGCCATGACTTCTTGTTTTTACAGGAGTTTAAATATGAGGAAACTCCCTTAATCATCCAGTAAAACAACAGAATATAGCTCTGATGTGCAGCAAAAGATTGTTGAGCTTCACAAAAAAAGAGAGTAGCTGGAAGAACATAGCTAAAGAGTTGGGTCAATCAACTAAAGTTGTTATGAATCTGCCAGGAAGAGGACGTGTGTCTATATTGTGTTAATGCACAGGGAGGAGGAGGGTTTGAGTGGCCAAAGTCTCTCCAATGATCACAGATGGAGAATTGCAGAGATTAGCTGGGGTTTGGGGTCAGAAAGCCTAAACAAAAAAGATCAAACAACCACATGAGAGGGTTTCCAGAAAAATCCTCCTCGCTCCTCCAAAAACAAACTCCAGCATATTCAGTGGTCAGACACGACTGGAACTTAACAGGGACCGGATTCTGTGGTCAGACGGAGCTAAAAAACAGCTTTTTGCCTCAAACCCACCAGATGGTGCAAACGGGGATATAAAGTACCCCAATTTAGCTGGATCTTTAATGCTGTGGGCCTGTTTTATGCTGGAGGTCCTGGACTTCTTGTTCAGATTCATACAGGTTTAATGGATTCAGGCAAATACCAACAGATAAAAAATCAAAACCTGACAGCCTCTGCTAGAAATCTTATAACGGGCCGGGGTTGGCTCTTCCATCAGGACAATGATCCAAAACAAACATCCAAGTCAACACAAGCATGTGTTCACTGCTCTCGTCTCATTTTTTCAACGCAATAACACACTCAGTGTGAACAGCCGCTTAAGAGCGGTTAATCAGGCGCGCCATCATGTGGTCGCATCATTTTCTTCTCTTAACTGTTATAATTGCCATATTGTCAACATGTCTAATTGTAACATTTGCTAACATTGTTATTCAAGAGCGTGATTTCTCGATTTAAAAATAAAAAAATCGTGGCAAAACATTAGTCAAATTAATCGGTAAAAAAAATCTGAATGATCGCCCATCCCCAGGTGCATTAGGGGTATATGTGCTCCAGAGCGGACATCAGTGGTTGAGTAAGTGTCTCTCTGTGTTTCTCTATAGCCGCCCACTCAGAACATGCCCATGAATCAAAGTGGCGCGACTCCTCAGCTGCCCCATGGCCACAGTATGCCCCCCGAGGGGCCGCCCGCCGCACACATGCAGAGCCAGATGAACGGACAGATACCAGGTAAACTCAGACCAGTGCACTCACTGTTAAACTCCCAGAATGAACCCTTTAATCAGCCTAACATTTGAAAATCAAAAATTTAACTGGAACACTAAAGCAAAAGATATAAATAACCATCTTAAAAACAAGGGTTTTTGTGAAGCATCTAATGTGTATGTATCTTCTTGTTAGTGGCTTTGAGTAACGTTCTTATGATTTTTGGGTTTGGCTTGTATTTTCACATTAAATGTTATTGATCTCTGTCTGCTTCTGCAGGTCCGAACCACATGTCCATACAGGGCCCGGGACCCAACCAGACGCCCAGCATACCCAGTGGCTCCATGAACATGCCGGCCAGCAGCCATGGCTCCATGGGGGCGTATAACCACGCAGTGCCCTCCTCGCAGGGCTTGCAGTCACAGGGGCAAATGAACATGAGCCAGGGGCAGCCCATGGGTAATTACGGCCCTCGGCCCAACATGAACATGCAGCCCAATCAGGGTACATCTGCTCTCTAGTCACTGTCTTATGTTAAAACAAAAAATATATATATAGATTTAATACAATAATGTCAATCACATAAGTAAAAAAAAGTTCCACTTTTAAGTGTTTGGGCTTATTTTTTGCTCTAGGGCCCATAATGCACCAGCAAGCTCCTTCCCAACAGTACAACATGCCTCCTGCTGGTGGAGGTGGGCAGCATTACCAGGGGCAGCAGAACCCCATGGGCATGATGGGACAAGGCAATCACGTGATGGGGCAGAGGCCCATGCCCCCCTACAGGCCGCCACATCAAGGTATGCTCGACTTGTTTTGTTGAAGTGTCATGTGAAGGAGGTATTACTCATCATCGTCGGTTGTCTTAAAGAGGACCTATTATGCTTTTGTCCATGTTCAACTTTCTTTAGAGTATAATGTTGCTGTTTGAGCATCAAAAAGCTCTGCAAAGTCCCTCCAGCGGGAGTTCTTCTCTATATCAGTGTCAGTGTTTCTGAACTCCCTGAAACGCCTCCATTGTAGTCTTGAGTTTCTTCCGGGAACGAACGCGTCACAATATTCCTCATTATAATAATTAATACGCAGAATAAAGGGGCGGGGCCTGGTTGAGTTAGTTAGTAGTGTGTTGAAACTGGCGGTTATGGTAAGAGGCGGGACATTTCCCAAACACACTCGAAGCGCTCAACCAATCACAACGCACTGATCCAGCCGACCAATCAGAGCACATTGTGCTTTTCAGAAGGAGGGGCTTCATAGAGACAGGAACTAAACAGAGCGATACTGACAGACTGGGAAGAGAGGAGCCGCAACAATGGGGAAAATAAGGTGTTTTTTGAACATTCAAGTACGAAAATCTGGACTTTGTTTTTGGGCTCTACTAGAACAGACTTCAAAAGAAGGGCGCAATAGGTCCTCTTTAATGGTGTCTGTGTGTGTATTTTTAGGACCTCCTCAGCAATATGCTGGTCAAGAGGAATACTACACGGAGCAATACAGTCATGGAGGACAGGGAGCACCAGAGGGTAGGATGCATTGACTTGCAACCTGCTATTTTTTACCCGTTTTAATGTTTGTCCTAATTTAGATCTGTAGTTAGTGCAGTAAATGTTTGTTTACTCCTTAAAGGCGAACCTTGAAGTAGGGGTTGAACGATTTTTTAAGTCGACATGTATGTGACGAAAGTCGACTAGTCGCTGATGACGTCATTAATGAACAGAGAGACTTGTGTTGTCTTGTGCACAGCTATTGCATATTGACCCAGCGCTGCCTACAAGGTTATTGCTCCTACATGACAGCCTATTTTTATCAGTTATTTGGTCTATGGGTCGTTATATTTCTCACAGATTTCTGCTCGTTCTAAGTCAGTCACAGACAAAGTTGCACAGTAAAGATTACATTTATATGATTGCGTTGGTGAGACGGTGATTGCTTGTGAATTAATTCTTCCTGGCAGCGTCTCTCCACTAATAGTGCAGCTCTGTGGGTTTTAGTTACCGGTACTTAGAAATATATGCTGGAACTTTTCTGTTTCTAAGCTATTTCATTGATAAATCACAGAACATCATTGACAGTAAGTGTCTGCGCTGCTGAATATTTCTGTGCACGTGATCTGCACGTGGTGTGTGAGCTACTGTCTGTGTGTGTGTGCGTTACAATGCAGCAGCGCATTAGTTCAGAACGGTGATTCACTTATGTGTGCAATTAGCTGTTTAAAACCGTGCAATCACCCGATCAGTTTTGAGCATCCAGACGGTTATCAAACATATCTTGTGGAGCGCTTGGAGTATCTGTCATTTTAACTGTTGGAAATGGTGACGTCAAAGATTTCTTATCCTGTTGCGCCCCCTATAGGCCATGATCAGCGACTAGTTGACGTCAAGCTTAAAGCGTCATGGCAGAGCATTAAAGTCGACCATGCAACCCCAACCTTGAAGCCCATCATCCTTGCTATTATAAAACCAGAGTTTTTCCACCCCAAAATCAAACCAAAGAAATAACAAATATATTTTGCTCAAAAGAAAGTTGAAACGTGCTTAAATATCATGAAAATCTATTGTGTATACTAGGGATGGGTTGACAAGATTGATCTTTGATGAACCGATATCGATTCTTACATCCCAAGATCAATCTTTCATATTCAGTTTAGATTAATGCGTCTGCCATCCAATAATTACAATAAGCTTTGTGCTTTGTTGCTTTTGATTTAAAAAATAAAATAAAATCGTAGCTTTTTGTGCACTTCCCTCCACCCTCCCAGCCTGAATGTAGTAGTGCAGGAGGGCGAACAGTTGTGCATGATGTGCTGGAGTTCCTACAAACACAGTTCATGTTACTTGGCGGATAGCCTTAATAAAGTCTGTTAATTGCCTGGTCTTTTTTTGTGTAGGAAACGCACAGTATGGTCAGCAGCAAGAGGCGTATCAGCAGGGTCCGCCGCAGCAGCAGGGTTACCCGCCGCAGCAGCAGTACACCGGACAGCAGGGATACCCCGGACAACAGCAGGCCTATGGTAGGAATTATATCATCACATTGACAGATTAAGTCTGGGGTAGGGTCTTAAAAAAATGCCCTGCTTTTTTTCACTCACACAATCACATCCCTGAATGAACAAATCAAACAAAAGTAATTGAAATAGCTTAACACAAAACATTTTTTCAAGTGGTTTCCCAAAAACCAACTGAAAATGCACCTTCTACAGTCTCAAAATACATAGAATGGTCCAAAAAGTTAAGAGAAGATCTTATCGCCCCTTACAAACAAGGAACCGGATGCAAAAAGATAGCGAAGGAACTAAATCTCCCTAGAGAAACCGTTGGAAGCATAGTTTGCAAGTTCAAAGTTAAAGGTACAGTGGTTACACTACCTGGACGGGGCAGAAAAAGGCAAGTTTGGAAAATCACTCGAGTGACTGCAAAAGACCTGCAGCCAGACTTGGTGGCAACTGAGAAAAGCACAGTAAAGCTCGTACTAAACGCGTGCCAAAACTCTTAAGATGTACACCACTACTGACCCTAAAGCACAAGAAAAGTTGGCTCCAATATGCAATATTCATATAAATAAGCCAAAAAAGTTTTGAGATTCTGTTCTGTGGAGTGATGAAACTTTTTGGCCCTATGGATCAGCGGTATGTCTGGAGGAAGAAGAATGAAGCACTTGCTGAAAAGTCTCTGTCTACAGTTCAGCATGGTGGATCAGTGATGCTCTGCGGCTGATTTATATCCTCTGGCTCTGGAAACCTGCAGCGTGTGGAAGGCAAGATGGGTTCATTGAAGTATCAGGAAATCTTAGGAGAAAACGACATTTCATTTATACAGAGAGTCTGGCCTCGCTCCATTGACAAGCGTTAACTTCCTTGTAGGCGGGTACTCTGTTGAAGTTTAAAACTATTGGATCTGCCCAGAGTCACTCTGGTTCTGCCATAACCAATCGCTGACGTTTGGTCGTGACGTATGACGACTCAACCTAGCGCACGACATCAACGTCATCGTTCTCAGCCACTCCCTCTGTTCGCTGATAGGACCGGTAAAAAAATGACCGGAGAAAACCAAAGAATACAGCACAAGCCCAGACGTAGTACTGAAGGAAAATGAAAATTTAGCGGAAGTACGAAATTCCACCAAGTCAAAATTTGCACCAAAGTGCTGTACAATAAAACATTGAGCATATAAAGAAGAAAGCATAAAAATAAATCATGCAGCTTACAAAATATTAACACATTAAACAAAATACAATAAAAAGTAAAAATAAAAACCTTTAACTAATCTAATCTAATCAAAAGACAGAGAGAACATTAAGATTTAAGATCTGATTTAAAATGGCTAATGAAGGAGCAGACCTTACATTTTAAAGGGATAGTTCGCCCAAAAACTAAAATTAGCCCATGATTTACTCTCCCTCAAGCCATCCTAGGTGTATATGACGTTCTTCTTTCAGACGAACACAATCAGAGCTATATTAATAAATGTCCCGGCTCTTCCAAGCTTTATCATGGCAGTGAATGGTTGTTTCTGTTTTGAAGTCCATCAAAGTGCATCCATCCATGATAAAAGTGCTCCACACGGCTCCAGGGGTTAATAAAGGCCTTCTGAAGTGATGCGTTCGTGTAAGAAAAATACCCATATTTAAAACTTTATCGACTAAAATAACTAGCTTCCGGCAGACGGCGAAAGAGAAACACTTGACCCGATGCATGATGTAATGAGGATAGTGCAAAACACCAGTCACGAGTTAGAAGTCTAAAACGAGAATTCGTTAAGAGAAATGTGGGAGGAGCTTGATTTTGTTGCCTAGCCCTGTTTGTTTGAACCGCGAGAGCTTACGATTCTCCTATATCTACGTCACACGTCAAGGGCCGTACACACCGGGACGAATATCGGCGCGCGTTTTTCAACGCGTTTTTTGTGTTCACACCAAAGCGATTTTCGCTGACGATGAGCCGAGTGAACATGCAAATTCATTCCCTGACATTAGATGGCGCTTAATGTAAAACAGAAATAGTCCTATTTTGTAGTCGCTGTTGCGTTTGTCATAGTTCTTCATGTTCCGAGACCAGCAGCTCTACATTGATCTTGCCTTGCATCTTCCTCGTCTTATTTCTTCCCGGCAGTGTAGACGCTACTTGGCGTAAATCTTCTTCACCGTTACGTATGTGTGCTCAGCAAGACCGTTTTGTGTTTGAGCGCCCCCAAGTTGTGTTTTACTGTAACTTCAGAAGCTCCAGACACGTGAGCAAAAGCGCCAATCTCATTGGTCGGATAGTTTTTGACGCGGTGCGTCAAACCAAAAAAACGAACCCGAGGCGTTTTTAAAAAAATGACGCTTTTACGCATGGCGTTTTTCGCGTCGGTGTGCACACTCACATTGCCGCCCTTTGTTTAGTCACGAGGCGTTAAACGTCGGCGAATATCGCGCGCGAAATTTGTCCCGGCGTGATCAGGCCTTTACTCTTGTGGCGCAAGTCGACTTGCGTACGGCCGTCTGCCGTTAAACTGGTAGATAAAAAAAGAAGAGAAAAACTCAGTTGTAGCTGGTAGATAACAACATGCTACCAGGTTTCTTCTGCACCAAGGCTTGGTCACCTGACTTGAACCCCATAGATAATCTCTGGTGGGGGTTAAAGAAGGCGGTTGCAGTATGCAAACCCAAGTGTATTACTGAACTGGATTGTTCATGAGGAATGGGCTAACGATTGCTCAGAAAAGCTGCTGTCTGCTTATACATCTCGTTTGCAGAAGGTGTTGTAGTGCTGAATATGCTTGCCATGAAGGGGCTAATTTTGAGAATAAGTTGCATTTTCAGTTGAATTTGGGGAAACCACTTGAAACTTTTGTTGTTGTGCTATTTCAATTACTTTTGTTTGATTTGTTCATTACAAACAGCTGAAAGTCTGTAAATGTTGCCAATAAACCTGATTTCCAATGGGGGTTGAATAATTAGGTGTTCAAGCACGAAGTGCTGAAAACCTATTGTATTTGTACTGATTTTTATTATTATTATTATTATTATTATTATTATTATTCTTCTGCCGTAAAACGCATCGTGCAGAACAAACCGTAAGTGCTGGAGCTCTGAAACTTTGTCAGAGGGTAGTACAAAAATCGAGGAGAGCCTCAGAAAGTATGACCCCGATTGGCCTATAGGTGGCGCTACAGCAATCAATTGCGCGAAACTGCTCATAACTCCTAAACCGTATGTCGTAGACTCAAGTGTCTTATATCATTGGAAAGCTGGAGGCCTGAAGAACAAAACGTATATCTCCGATTTCATTTCCGGTATGCAAATTTTTCCGCCATTTTGAATTTTGTCAAAAACCTACTTTTGCGAACTAGTCCCTGGTTTTTCGCCCGATCAAAACCAGACAAATGCATACATGTTCTCTGGAGTCTGAATATCAATAATCATTGAAAAAAAGTTGAATTTTCGATTCACGGTCGCTAGGGGGAGTAAAATGATCGTTGTGGGAGGAGCCTATTTTACTAATATGGCTATAACTCGAGAAGTAAATGAGATATCTTCACCAATCTTGGAACACATGTGTATGAGTTCAATCTGAGGTCACAGTAAAAAAATCGCGTCGACCTAACACTAGGTGGCGCTATAACACACAAAAAACCTAAATCGGGCTATGACCACCTGACCGTTAGTCCGATTGACTTAAAAATTGGTATGCAGTGTCTTGGTCCAAGGTGCCATGTATGTGTATGAGGAAATTGGCGTAACTCAAAAAACATGGCCGCCATCGGCCAATGAATTTGAGCACCTATTACACGAGGTTAACGGAGGCCAATCGGAACGAAACTCGACGGACATGTTTGACTCATGGCCCAAGAGGTCTGTAAGAGTTTTGAAAGAAATTGGCCACTAGTTGGCGCTAACGAGTTTTACGGCTCTGTAATCACGTGGTGTTGCACACATCCCGAAAATATGCATATCATTTGATAGATCTCCTCAGGATGAACAACTTTCCCTCTAGAACCATTGCTGTCAATCAAATCGTTCATTAAATATTCACGAATATGTTAAAAACCTACTTTTGCGAACTAGTCCCTGGATTTTTGCCCGATTGGAACCAGACCAGTCTAGGACAATTCTCTGGACTCTCTAGATCAATAATCATTGAAAAAAAGTTGAACTTTTGCATTTTTCGTATGGCTATAACAGGGTCATTTAGAAAAGGGGCGTGTCAAATACACACAAAAGCCTATAAATCATAAATAAAAACTCAGAACTAAACAAAAATTGGTGAGCATATGTGTCATAACATGGTGAAGAAGCATGCAAAGTTTCATGGAGATCGGACCATAGTTGGCGCTATAACTGTCAAAAAGCTTTAAAACCATACATTTCCTATGGCAAATTGCCTGTATTGGCTGTAAATGCTGATCTCTTAAATGAATGCTCAGATCTTCTTTAAAAAAGGTCAAGAACATGTGTAATATCACTCTGTACGGCATTGAAAAATTTCAGACAAATCAGACAAAATTTGCCTCTATAATTAATTGTCACAGGAAGCCTCAAAACGAAAGTAAAACATTGGGCCACGCCCCCCCAAGCACGAATTCACTCATAACTCGAAAACGGAAAGTCTCTGCCCGCTGAAATTTTGATGGTAAGGTCCTCTCGGGGATCTTGATCCAAATCTTTCGTCGCGGGGCTCGGGAGCGCCCCCCCGCGGATCGCTAATCTGTGAGAACCCCAACTTGAAACGGCTGTAACTCTTGATCCAGACCATCTAGATCCTTGTGGAAGAGCTTGTTGGAAAGGGCTCGTCCTCATCTAGCTTCGATTCGAGTTTGGTGCGATTTGGCCTGGGCATTCCCGAGATATAAGCCCACAAAGATATGCATTTAAACGGACATTACTCCCGACAGCAATCACTCAGCAACACGGGAATGGTCTTGTTCAAGAGGGCTCCTCTAACCCTATCTAAGTTCTGAGTTTCAGATTTTTTCACTTTCTCGTTCCCGAGATATAAGTAAAAAAAAAAACGAATTTCCTGTCATTCATTTCAACCGTTTATGTAGGCTGTAAAACCGCTGTTGTCCACTAGAGGGAGCAACAGCATTAGATATTTTTAATCTTTTTTAACCAGTTTTCAGCAATGGCTAACAAACAAATGCTTATAATATAATATTAAATAATGATTTATTAGATAGTTTAATATTTTTACATCACAAATAAATATCTGAAATGCTTAAGGACCACAAAAAGAGATTTTCACAATATCATAACCCACAATTGTGTGTTTGTGTGTGTGTGTAAGCATGCATAATGGTATTCACATTGAAAGACTGGTTTGCTTTAGTGCACAATACTCAGGGTTTCTGCAGGGTTTAGTCAGTCAAATTTAAGACCTTTTAAGACCTTTTTATGACCAATATTATTTAAATTTATGACCTACTCGAATTACGAAAAATAACTTCCTTTCAAAAGTCTTTTTTTATTGACTTTCATTAAAAGTAATAAGTTTAATTATTTAAAGGTTCCATTTTCTTAAGAGTAACAAACTGAAGGCTCCCTTTTCCTAAGTATCAATAACACAGGAACAACACAACACTTATCACGATAATATCAGTCAATATCGATAATTATGACGATAAATGTCAATTCTTTATTTCTTTGAACTTTGAAGGCAGATTTTTGTTCCTAACTGAAAGTTGTAGAAACCAGAGCGTTAATTGTGGTTTTAAACTACTCTTTATTGTCAAAACATATCATGACAAACACTTGCCAAACAGGTGAACATTTCACAAATCTGAGGTAGAACATTCAAACATTTGTATTTTTTCCTTAACAAAAATAATATCTTTATTTCAAAATTAATTTCTTAGTTTCTGCATGTGCTAATGGGGGATATTGTTTCAAGTCTTGAAACAGGTTTGTGTTGCCTGGCTTTGATGGCACGTATCTTTATGAAATGTATGAAAAACAGTAGGCTATAGCCTAAATACATAAATACTGTAATTATATTCCATTAGTCCTTTAATACATTGTCTACATTAATAATATAATACAATTCAATATGTATCCCACATTTCATGGTGCAGTTAATATTACTAGGCTAACGTTACAGTAAAACCATGGTAAAGGATGTAAATGTGTAGATGGAAAAGCTTTCTGACTGTATAGTTGCGCACAGTGTTTCTCCTGTTCGTCAGCGCTGTTTCATCTGCCTTTAAACTGGTTTAAATCACTGAGACATTTGTGTTCTTCGCTGAATTCAAGTGCTTCTCACTGGATCTCGTGATCGAGACTGATCAAAGTTAACCATAGACAGTAAAAGAACGTGTCTGCTCTAGTGAGCTTGATCGCGCTACGCTGCCGTTTGGACTTTGAGCCGAGCGGATAAATGCTCCGTGAGGCGCGCGCGGTTCAAATGAGTTTCGTTCCGCTTTTGGCGCATAAACATGATCTAACATTTATCGAACTCTTGATATCGTTTTATAGAGAAAACATTATATCGCGATAATGAATGAATGAGCATATCAATTTAAGATGTGGCTAAATGTAATTTATGACCTTGTATGGAAAAGCCGGACGTTTTTATGACTTTTTATGACCCCGCGGAAACCCTGATACTGATTAAACCAAGTAGTTCAAAATAAAAGTGGTACTATAGCAATAAGTGGTCTTCTACTACCCTCTGCTGGACATTATACTTATTAATAGTCTTTTCACATGTGCTTTTGCATTCATATATTCAGACACTAAAAAATAACCTTATGTGACAATTACTATAATAACACAATCATATTTTGTCTTTCAATTCACTTTACTGTTCTGAAGCTTCACATAATTGCTAACAACGTGGTAAATCATAGTAAATCATGCTACAATCCTGCTGAATCATTCTAGAATGTGGTATATCATGATAAATTATTGTGTAACATTCGGTCACAACAAGGTAACATCAAGGTAAACTAAGACAAACCATGGTAAACTGACTATTGTAGTACATTGAGAAATATGAATCCTGAAGGACAATTGCAGTAAACATTTCTTTTTTCCATCACATAGTTCAAATATCTGTATCTACAACAGAATGTGTGTGTGTAGTCCTAGGTTTCTGAATAAATGCTGAATAATCTGATTAATAGCTTGCAAAGACATTAAATCCTTATAGACCATTAAAATATATTTATATAATGACTTTGTGTGTATGTGTGTGTGTGTGTGTGTGATCAAATGTCTACATATGAGTGTAAAAGCACCTGTGAAAACACTTTATTAATAAGTAGAATGGCCAGCAGAGGGCAGTAGAAGACCACTTATTGTCTCACTCTCATTTTGACACACTTGATTTTCAACAGTAAATCAAAGCACTAAAGCAAACCAGTTTTTCCATGTTAACTATTATAACACAATCATTTTTTGTCAGAGTTTATCACTTCATTTTTATTGGCCCTTCACATCAATGCAGCAATGTGGTAAATCATGGTAAATCACGATAGAAACATGGTAAATCATAGTAAAAAATACTATTACATGGTGGATCATGGCAAATCATGCTAGCAATGTGATGAATCATGGTAAATCATGCTACAATCCTGGTAAATCATTCTAGAATGTGGTATATCATGGTAAATCATCCTATAACATGGGAAATCATGGTAAACTGTGGTAAATCATGCTAGATTCATGGTAAATCATACTGGAACATGGTAGATCATGAAAAATCACACTAAATTTGGTATATCATGGTAAATCATGCTAAAACATGGTCTATTCCATCTATGATGTCAATGTTTAAATGCTTGCTACATAAAACTTAATGTCTTTTGATGCTTTTGTGCTTAACGGCCTTAAAGGCCTTAACTGCTTGAACACCGCTAAATGCTGCTAGCAGCTTTAATTTCGATTATAACTGTATAGTTAGTTGAATGTCTGAAGTAGACCATTAAAATAAAGCGTGGAACAAATCGTGAAGGTCAGCAATATGCTTAATCTACGTTCAGTCTACATTCCTAGTAAGAATACGGAGAACTTTCATTTATTCCCATCTATGAATACACTTCCTTTTATACCAACAGGTCAGTCTCAGGGCGCTCCCAGTCAGTACCCAAACTACCCCCAGAGCCAAGGGCAGCAGTATTCAGCCTACAGACCCCCACAGCCCGGCCCACCACAGGGACAGCCGCAGCGCCCCTACGCGTTTGACCAGGTGAGAAACCTCAGGCAGAGCATTTTCAAATGTCCACTTGAGAGCAGTAGCACCAGTGCCACTAAACTCTACAGATTATACCCATTTTCTAGCACTGGGGCAACATTTATCATAAAGTTGATTTAATCAGAAAATTACTATTGTTTTGCGTTTAAAAGTGCAGTTACTAATAACATTACATGTTTGTTTTTGTTTTTTTGAAAATTTAACCGTAAAGCAGTGAGCTTGAATTGATATGCTGATAGAATTAACTTTTATTAACAACAGTAATGTGCAAAAACCTCATTTTTATTGGGGAAAAGTTAAATATTCTGCTTTTATGTACCATTGTTGTTCTATAGTATCATAATGAAGTGACTGACAGCTTCATTGATTATAAAATGAGTGCTCTTTTATAGCTTTCTGTGAAGGTTTAGTTTTTCATGAGACTTTGGCTCAATCCCAATTCACCCCTTGGCCCTACCCCTCCGTTTTGCGGGTTCACGTCAAGGGGTAGGGTGTCCCGATTCTTGTTTAGATCGAGGGGTAGGGCTACATAGCCCTCGAAACGGAGATTTTTCAGAGGCACACTCCAAACGGAGGGCTACGAGAAAGTCCGAAGGCTTCACAAACGGTTAAACATTTAAATTTAGCGCCAGATGACACCATCGTGCACTTTATTTACTCTTATAATAATGATATAGTCATTTAAATCAAGAAATTGTATAATAAATTACCTTTCCGAAACAGAAAAGACATACATTTCGAGGAAGGAACGTTATAAGCATCATGTTTCCTCAAAGTTAAGAGCAGCTGCGCTGTTTGTCAGTCGTTGTCATGGAGAAATCCTGTAAAAACTCCGTAACGGCAGAGCCATCGCCGACGACTGATGACGTATCGGGTTCATGAAGGGTTGTTCCATTTCGTAGGGGAATATTTCAACCCCTTGGCCCTTGTCACTCTGTTTTAAGGGCCAAGGGGTACACTCAAAAACAAGTGGTAGGGCCAAGGGGTGAATTGGGATTGAGCCTTTGTGACCCTACTTTGTTCTATATTAAGGATTGGAAATGGCTTATAAGTGGTCCTCTGCTGCCATCTACTGTTAGAGTGGGCATTTCATGTCTTTTTTTTTTTTATTGCCACAGTGTTAGTTTTCCTACATCTTTAAACTTTGTTTTAATATCACATGGATATTTAGAGATTTGAAGTGCTGGAAAAAGTGTGAAGCACTTGAAAGTGCTTGAATTATACTCTCAAATGAGATGAATAATGTAAAAAAGAAAACCTTTCGACTATTTCTGCCACATTACCAGTTAGTTGCAGTTAGGTTACAGTTAGGGTTGCTACATTAAATCCATGGTGAATGTTGGTGATTTGTGGATTGAAAAGCCTTCTTTAACTTGTTTGTTCATGGGGACAGTGTTTCTCCTGGTGTCCACGTTAGATCTGATATCTGGTTTATAACAGAATCTGAGCTTGAAAGCTTCTCGCTTGATCTCGCTGCGATGTTATTCATTTTCACACTTTCTCACTGGATCTCCCAGCGCTGTGCAGTAACAGTGTCGCGTGATCGAGATCGGCCCGCGAGTAAACCTGTTCTGAAGTCAAACAAGTAGCGTGATTTTCGCTCTGCTTTTGTTTCATTTGCCATTTGATGTTTCTTATATGCAACCGAAATGGCAGCTCTCATCAGTTGGTCAACGTGGCGACCATTTGGTCCCAGTCTGGAGCCCTGACTTGAGATATTTGTTTATAAATACCGTTTAAAGGTAGCCTGACTTCGTCATACTCATATTCTAGAAAGAACAAGAGTCTGAAACTGATCCATTGGGCTGTGATTATGGGGCGTGTTTCAACCGAACCAGGAAAGAAAATGCCTCTGCATTCAATTGGATAGACCTACAACCAATCAGAGCAACGGAGTAAATGACGCATGTTCTTCATTCATCTTTCCGACCGACAAATGCCTTTATCGCGGTTCTCTGTTCCTCTTTTAAAAGCAATGCGCTGTCGATATCTTCTATAACAGACGCGATGGCGGAATATACACATGATGTTTCATAAACAAAGTTCGGGAGGAGCACGTTCAAATAATCATTCTAATCAACTTGTTATCAAACAATACCATGTCTAACGTTAGCCTATCAGCCTGAGAGGAAGCATAATCACTCAGTCAACTCACCTAACACTCCTCGACAGTTTTTCAGCATCTCTCGTCCACCACCCCGACTGCTCACTTTCTGTTATTTAGAATACGGGGGAGTAACGTTACTCTGGGTTCGGGCCGAATGCCGATCACGGAGCCTCTCCTCAGACAGCACGTCATATAGGCATTTATTCTATCTGACTTACTTGTAAGTGTGAACTCGTGCAATCTTAATTCTCCAGCGGCAGTTATCTTTGCTGTAAACGATTTCAACCCAAGCGCTCTTCAATGACGTGATGAATGCGTAACTGCAGATCATCTGTCAATCATCGTATAAAGTCCGCCCTGGCAATTTGATTGGCCCGACGTTTTCTGAACCGGTCATAATTACTCCTCAATGGAGCGAGTCCAGACCGAACTTCCCGACCAAAAAATGTTGTGGGCGGGGTTCGGGCTGGCATCCAGGCTAGTTTAAAGGGACAATGAGTAGGAATTTCTCCCATCTAGCGGTGAAATTGTATTTTGCATTCAAACGAATTGTGCTCTCAGCGCCTCGCTTTTTCAAATGCGTGTTGTATCTATGGTAGCCGTTATGTACCAAAAAGCTATGACAGGATGTCTTCTAATAGCACTTCGTCGAGTGTTCCTTCGGGTGGACAGGTTTGTTATTCAAACAAACGGCAACTTGACACAACGAACAAACGAATGTTACAGTATGAATTGCTGACTGTGAAACTTGCCGGGGCAGAGCGCCTCTCACCGCTCTGCCCCTCCGTTTCTGCCGCTTTCAGCTACGTGACGCTGGCTCTGAACGAAAACGCGTTGGCCTAGTACTTTTTGTTGGAGTACCTTTGTACTTTTTGGCGGAACTACATGAAAGCCTCCCTGGACCTACCCGTCCCATGTATATAAAGATAATACATTTTTCATTTACGAGGATAAGTCAGATAATTGGCAGAGGTATTTGTACACCATTGAGGACATATTTATGAATAAAAACATTGATTTTAAATAATAAAGTACCTAAAAAAGTACACATTGTCCCTTTAAATGAGAATCTGAGGTGTTTACAGTGTGACTGTAATCTGCTGGTGGCATCATGTTCACTAATGTAGTCATTAATTCTTGGTGTTCTCTTTTGAATCATTGCGTCTGTACTCGTCTGTGTTGACAACAACTCCTTTTCAAACATTAGTTTCTCACGGTCTTGGAATCCTTAAATATTTTGGATTAAAGCAACATTTAATCATCTCAGTTATGTCTTTGAAAGATAAAGAAATAATATTTTCAATTGTGACACGACTCTTTTCAGTTAATACAATGTCAGTTGCCGAGTCTGTCTTGCTTCAGCTTGTGTCTTTCGTTACAGGGGCAGTATGGCAACTACCAGCAGTAGATGATGAGGATTCGACTGCCCGCCCTTGCGTCTCCCATTTGGAGCTGTGTGTGATCCGGTGACGGGCCACTGCGCTCTCGAGATCTCTATACATCGCCTATGAAGAGATGAATCTTCCCCGCTAATGCAGACTGAACTCTTCATTCGGCCACAAGCATTTGAACAAACTGAACAATGATTGGCTCGATATCAGCACAGGTGATCTAATTGTGAAACGCCACAAAACACAATTGACAAAAAAAAAGAAAAAAAAAGAAAACGTTCATATTTTAAGAATTTCCTGTCGACTCGTATGTGCATTTTTAGGTTTAAAAGAAAAGCAATTCATAGCAGCAATGCCTTAAGTGAAACAGCTGCCTTATTTACAGCAACTTACAAAATCAGTGAAAATACATAAACATATACACACACAGCAATGTGCATAAGCTATGGGAACGTGTTTTGTTTTATAATAAAATTCAATGTGTGTTGTTGTTGTTGTTTTCTTCTCCTCTCCCGCAAATGTCAGAGAAGCAATAATGCTGAGGTGCGAATGAAGGCTAGCGGAGAGGGGGAAATGGTTTTAAATTTCAGGTTCAAAACTATGCTATGATGTATAAATGTATTTTATGCTTTATCAAATAGAGCTCAGATTGAGTCCAGGTGTTGAACAGTAGCTCAAAGTGTTGTCCCGTGTGCTTATTGACTGTATTGAATTATTTTTTTCTTGTTGTTTTGTTTTTGGAGGTGGGACGTTCCATTTAAAATATGTATGTCTTGCTGAAATTTGATTAAAACGATCTGGTACTGTAGTGGTTTGTATTGAAGTCATGTTTGAATTATGGTGCCGTTTTAAAACATTGAGTGGACTTAAGAGTCTCAATGAAATTGTCAAACTTGCTATCAAAGCAGCGATTTGTCTCTTTAGGGTCTAGTATTTGTAGGGTACCTGATTAGAGCTGGTTGCTAATGATGTGTTATCTTCAGTTAGCCTATGATATGTATGTTTTTGCTTTAGTTTAACGTAAGTGTGTAGAAGCTAAATCAAACAATCAAGTATGGGCTACACACCTGTGAGATTTTTTTTTTAAATATATGTATATATAAAGGTATGCACATACAGCTTTCACCTTGTACAGTTATTCACTGTGGTAATGCTATTGTGTTATATTTTTGATCATTTTGTTTTTGTACAGTCGAGTGTTTTTTGTTAATGAGTGAACAGCAAGTCGTGGAAACATAGATAATGAGTTAAACGCTGATATTGACATTTTACCAATATATAAAAATAGCGCTTAATTCACATGCAAGTAAAGACAGAATATGCGCTCTCCAGCCTGTAGCTCTTCAACTCTTATTGTTTCTTGAAGAGTCTCAAGTCGATGTTGGTCAATGAGAAGACATCAGAAAAGGAGACGTTTCATAAATTATTCAGTAAAATAAATAGTGTTGGCTGTTGCGTATAGACACAATGAAATCAAAATGAGAGCTTTATGGGTTTTAGCCTTGTGGTTATCTATATGCACTCCTAATCTAAAAACAAAACACTGGAAAAAAACATGAACTGAACAACCGGTAAAATGCAAAGAGAATAAACAATGAACTGAACTACTTTAGGATTTAAATAGAAAACAAAAAAATCAATCAAATGAACAACAGGTGCAAATCATAATCAAATAAAAGAGAAGCCACGGAAATGAACGCACACAGGAAACAGAACTAAATGCAAACCCACCCAAAACAATCACACAAACAGAACCCATCGTTACATGTATATTGTAAAATTGTGTATACAATATCCACTTATTTGAATTTTGAGACAGCAACAGAACAAAGCCAAGCACACACAGGTCATGTTGCAAGACTTCATCTGTACTGCAAACCCCTCCGTGTTGCTGCTGTGTGTTTGCTGTAGGATTTCCCAAAGCAATGTCATTACCATGGAAACCAATGCAGATATCCAAGGAAACGAAAGAGTGCCACAGGACACACAAATTGAATCTGAACAGTTGATATACACGGTGTGGACAGTCGATCATTTAGATCAGATTTCAATGAGATAAACAAATAATCCGATTTGGACCGCCAGTGTCTAAGTTAGAGGATATTCTGCATTGTGATAAGAGGGTTAGAAACGGCAAAAATAAGACGGCAACCAAAAATAAATCTGTTCACGAACCGTGCCGTCATAAAGATCAACACAGCTTCTGTTCATCTCACTCAATATTCAGACAATTATAATTCACAGCAGCTCTCAGGGCGAGACTCGGTGAACGACTGCAGTCGTGCTGGAAGGCAGAGTATTCCCCCTCTCTCTCTCTTCTTTGTCTTTCTCTCTTCATGACTGAGGAGTGAGGGGGAAATGCAGTTCTCTGCACACTTTAATTGGAGATGTGTCACACTAAATAAATAGTGTGAAAGCAACCAGAGGCTTGAACTGGTGGCCCAGGGGGAGCCGGCCGCAGCCACAGTGCCACGGGCCGCAGACGTGACGGTAACAGGCTTTTTACCAGTGTTTTACATCTCTGCAAAACCAGAACCTTTTTTCAACATGTTTATTCTAACTATACAGTACAAACATGGAAACACTTATTATGTGCCAATGTGGGAGAAATGGGCTTGAATCTACTCAGAAACCGTGTATGAATCCACACAAAAATCCGTAGTAAACATTCGAACTTTATTATCGTATTCTAATCTGTTCCGTTTTGAAAAGCGCATTGGTTTGTGTAACTGTATTCCAGTAATAGTGACTGATGATCTGTGGGATCATATCTAGTTCTGATATCATTGCTTTTGGCTTGTAAACCAACATGTTCATATTAAAGTAAATTATCCAATCAATCAATACTTTAAAATGTATCTCTACCCTGACTTTACTGTATCATAACATTGACATTTTCTATTTATGAAATATATGTAAATAAATATCGTAACGTATATCAATGTTTTTCAAAAAGCACCTCGAGTCTTCTGTAACACCAGTGACTCTTCATTGAACTGAGTGAGTGTGTCCTGTAGGGGGCGTTAGAGAACCTCAAATAAACCAATGTTTCATGGGTTTCACAAACCTGATCACAGCTCTGGAAAAATGTGTGCCAATGGCGGCTATCATATCTTATCACTTTAAACACAAATGGGCAAGTTAACAATGATTTTGACTTTAACTTGTTCTGACAGAAAAATCAGCAATACGAAACATAATGCACAGCCAAAGACGTTTCTGCAAGTGTTGAAGTTATAGACTGACAGACTTGATTGCAAAATTGAATGTGAACTGTACACCAGTGGTGGAGTGCTGCAAAGAAGAATTTACATGATATACATTTATACAATTATACATGATGCAGATTTTATGTAGGGTAGTGTTTTTGCATTTTTGGTGCTTGATAAAAAAAGGAATAGCAAAAATCAATGCTTTTTTAACATTTAAAATGCTCAATGTTGATATAAGTTTATTTGCTGTGAGTGTTTGATGGAGAGACAGAGCATGAGATTGAGTGTTAGTTACAGTGTAGTGAAGATGTTGTCCTTGATGTGAATCTCTGAGCCAGAGGATGATGGGATGCGTTGCTCTGGTGTGATGTGTGTAAAAGAGGATGTTACAACACCTATATGCATAGATATAAGCTGCTATTAGTCTATTTAATACACTTCACAGAACTTATAGAAGATGATGGTAAGCAAGTTACATGTAGCCAACATAGCATGACATTTTTTAAATATATTAAATCTTGTATGAATCATCATTAGTCTGTTTCATTCAGCATAAATGTCACCTGCATTTTGAGCTTCACTGAGTGCAAGTTGTGTTCAATATATCCCTTTTTTTATCACAAATGTAATTTTTACCAATGCCATTTATCTGCATCAGATACCAGTTTATAAAAGAAAACATTGGAAGGGCACATTTTAACAGAGGAAACCTTTTTAATAACTCTGGTCTCATTTTACATGAATATTTTATTCAGTGGCAGCCATGTGTGTATGTTTGCTATAATAAGTATGGATATTGGCCAAGAGCAAAGTTAAATATCCGTTTGAGATGCTTTTGTCCTTGAATGGAGCAGTGAGGGAACTCAGCGTGCAGTGTTGGTGAATCCTCGAAATAGCCCTCGGCGAAAGAAAGCCTGATTAACATGCCAAGAACCACTCCAGCTATCACTTACCAACTGTTTGTATTTATAGTTCCTGTCTGTGTGTGTTTGTGTGAAAGAGAGCTTGAGAATTTTTTGGCTTTTGATAGTGTGTTGTCCTGTTGTGTGTGTTACTGTGGCTCAGTCCTCACAGCTCCCAGCGGACAGGAGGTGTGTGTGTTTGTTCTAGAAAGAGCGCGGCTACATCTCACTCAAGGTCAAACCGTAATAAGGTCAGGATTGGAGAAGAATGCTATCGACTGCTTTGCTATCCCTAAGGTAAAATGTTTGAATATTAGATAAACTTTCCTTTTTTTAATGTAAATTCATAAGTATTTAAAAAAAAAAAAAAATCATAGCTTGCAGTAAAAAAAATAATAATAATCCACATTGAATCCAAAATGGCTGACTTCTGTTCTGACTCACCACTTTAGTCACTACAGAGTTATGCCTAATGGCTGAACACTGATGTCTGTGCCAATATTATTATTATTTTTTTGCCATGTTCAGCATGTTAAGTGCCATGAAAACCATGAAAGGTAATATATAGTTGTAATGATATGCTTAGAACAACAGCAGGGCCCTTCTCACTTTCAATGTCTGGGCCCTAATAAAGTAAAACAGAAAAAATGACTAAGGTTATCCTATTGTCCTTCCAAGAGTCTTTCATATCCACCTTGATATTAAATTAGAACTATAGAGTATATTTGAAATATTGAGTAAACATTATTCTTGCAAAGCACCTTATGTTATTGGCACTATGTGAAGCACATTTACTGTGACTGGCTGTAAACAAAGGTTATTTCACATAAGTAGAAAAATCACCAAGAAACCTCCCATTATGTAAACTCTTCATATGGAACCCATCAACTGCAGCAATTTTGAACAGGTTCATGCTAATTTGTTACAGTTTAAATATACTTAAGGTTTCAACCCTGATTGGATTGTGGAAACAATAGCTCTGGCTTATAGTTCGCATAATGTGGGGTGTCCTGAAGGTGGATTCCTCATGGGCATGGGATGTCTATGGAGGACATTTTCTCAGTAGCAGGATGGGCTTCCCACTTTTGCCAGATTAAAAAATCTGGATGTTTCTTCACTAGCTTCTCGTATACTCTCGGTGCAAGAGAGCTAGTTTTACGTTGTGTAGCCCATATAAACTGCTTATAATCTACAGTTATCTGTTTTCTTCTTTAGCGTTCTTATTGCCTTAGAACAGGGGTCTCCAAACTCGGTCCTGAAGGGCCACTGTCCTGCAGAGTTTAGCTCCAACCCCAATTAAACACACATGAACCAGCTAATCAGTGTAGTAAGACTAATGCTGCGTCTCAATCGCAGCTTTTCTTGGCCAATGACCGCCAAGAGGACGTTTGACTGACATGTAACGCAACCAATCACAGTTCGTTATGTTCCGCGTCATGTTTGGGGACAATATAATGTCGATGACCCTACAATAACAGACCAGCGTGCATCTAATAAATTATTCATTCAAGAACGTTGTGCGAGTTTACTGCAATAATCGAGCTCAATTACTGCAACAATTAGGTCAGTGTTTCCCCGACCCTGCTCCTGAAGGACCCCCAACACTGCACATTTTCTTTGTCTCCCTAATCAAACACACCTGATTCAATTCATAAGCTCATTAGAAGAAACTCCAGGACCTGAAATGGGTGTGT